TTCAAATCAATTCCATTTCATCATGTTTTTGGGGAGTTTTTCAAGCAGTTTATTATGCCAAATCTCTAGATTTCCTTTAAAAATAATAAATAAGATATTTAGGGAATATGAATCTAACATATACTTTAATAATGGGAAAAAATAAGAAAATATGCATAGCAATGTCACAAGCCATGGCCATTTGTATTTGCATTCCATTGTTACATGCACATACCTAAGTCATATGTTTGAATCATGTTACACTTTCAAACATTTATTATTATCCATGTCCCTGGATGCCTATTATGCATAATGAACAACTGGTTGAACCAGAATTAAATATGATTACTTTTGTTACAGTACTTCCTAGTTGTTTTCTTCTGAATGGAGTTTGGTTTATTTGATTTTCTTACATTGGACTTAGGGACTTTTTTGTTGAATCCCATATGTTTATTTGCTTTGTGTTCCAACTTTGCTGAATATCTTTAAATATTTCAATAAAGCTAATAAAACTTGGCAGCCTTTTGTATTCTCACTTAAGCACAAATATACTAAGTAAAGTGTCTTCCTTGTTCTCATGATATTGTCTTGTATGAACTGTCACAGTGGCTAAAATGCAATATTTCAGGCAAAACTCTGACTGCAGCCTGGAGTTTGATCCTGACAGGGGTCAAGATTAACTCAGCTTTCTATCCTTCCGAGAACAGTAAAATGAGGATCTGGATTGTTGGGCACAATAAACAAATAATGCTTCTACATTGTAAACTGCCCAGAGAGTTCTGTAAAGGGCTATGGGATGGTATATAAGCCTAAATGCTATTGCTATTATTTCATCTCCACTCATAAATGAAGGAACACGTACCACTCAGATAAATAATGGTATGGGCACAATCATGCTGTCTCTGGAATTGTTTTATAGGATCTGCTTTGAAAAGTGGGAAAGAATCATTTCTTCCAGATCACTATGCCAATTCCAGGATCATATCAACCTGAATATCAACTGACTAGCAGTAACAATAAGAAACCTTCACAATAGAACCCTCCCTTTGTATGTCAAATGTTGCTTGCAGTGCTTTTGGAGACAGATTTGTCATCTGGGATAGCACAAAACCTTTTCTAAAGTGTCTAACTATTTCAGTAAATGGGAAACACTATTGCTTGATCTAAAAATGGAACCAGTATATTAACTGCTTTGCTTAAGAACTTGCAAAATGAATAAAGTCATCCAAGAAATTAAAAATACCAAAAATAAGCAAATTATGAAAAAGACAGAGGGACATGAAATAAGATTGTTAATCTAACAAAAAAATGATGGGAAGAGCAAGAGACTTTAAGAAGATATATATCTTCTTTATTGATTATTACAAGATTTCAAAATAGCAGAATAACAGAGTATGGAAGGGACTTGAAAGTCTTCTAGTCAAACCTCCTGTTCAGGCAGGAAACCCTCTACCATTTAAGACAAATGGTTATCCAACATCTTCTTAAAAACTTCCAGTGTTGGAGCATTCACAACTTCTGGAAGCAAGTTGTTCCACTGATGAATTGTTCTGTCAGGAAATGTCTCCTTAGTGCTAGGTTGCTTCTCTCCTTGATTAGTTTCCATCCATGGCTTCTTGTCCCGTGCTCAGGTGCTTCAGAGAATAGACCGACCCCCCTCTTCTTTGTGCCAACCTCCTGAGATATTGGAACATTGCTATCATGTCACCCTGAGTCCTTCTTTTCACTAAACTAGATATACCCAGTTCCTGCAACCATTCTTCATATGTTTTAGCCTACAGTCCCCTAATCATCTTTGTTGCTCTTCTCTGCACTCTTTCTAGAGTCTCAACATCTTTTTTACATCATGGCAATAAAAACTGGATGCAGTATTCCAATTGTGGCTTTACCAAA